GAATTCCATTTATATTGACTCACAGTTTATTAGTAACACTGAACACTATAGATGGATAGGTTGCTTAGAAATGACAACTTTTCTTTCATAATTCATTCTTTGTTTTTGAATCCTCACCACCGCTTCCGTCAGCACCATAATGGCGAAAACCAAATTAGCACAAAATACCACGGCTTCTAGCCTGTCCATGTATAGCTGTCAGTGTTACTACCTGTAAATTTCAAAATATGGTTTAATTTTTGAATGCAGTCATTATGTTAAAATGTATCAATTAAATATAAAGTAACCCATGTAAACATGCATACTTGCCAAATTGTCAGTTGGGCAAAAAGACCACATATATTCCATCGTATAGATTCGATTAGGTAAAAATGTGAGAGCTTATTGATGTGTCGGTAAATAACCAGCTGAAATTATTTACTACCTGAGTACCCGTGTTCAAGAACATGAAATGTATGATGACGTCACACGTCAACGTCCTAACATATAAGATCGATGTGCATAACCGTGGAGACTACTGGTGTTAAATCGTGTTGGGAGGCGTCTCTAGGAGTCAAAGTTCTGCGTGTAGTGGACCATTGGAAAACAATCTCTCAATGGTCTCATACTTGAGTTAATTTGTATTATTGATGGGTTATGCAGGATATTTTAGTATAAAAAGCATAATTTTGTGTCCATTGTCATATGGTCTAAATTATAACGTTGATTATTTTTTTCTTGTAAATTTCATGGTATCGGGAATATATCATGTAACACGAAGTTAACTGATTTTAAGCGAAGTTGACATCATAACTTACATTATGTAAATATTAGATACACTTGTTTTTAAGTATATGATTTTTTTCTGTCATCTGTGTACTTGTGAAAGACGATTTTTGTTTTTTTTAGCCTTAAAACGTCTAAGTGATACTTATTGAATAAGGTACAACCTCTGTAAGGTAATTGATTTACCAAATAAATCAAAGGAAAAATAATATATTGTTTTATTTATATTACAATAATTTTTTTATGAAAAAATATAGTTAATAAAGCTAAAAAGTGGCAAAGAACGCAATTTGCTTTACTTTTAAGTCTTCGTCATACGATCTGTGAATTGCAAATTTTATTTTTAATTTTAAGATGAACATTAAATTATACTATATTACTATACTAGCTTTCGCCCTCGACTCTGTCCGCGTGGAATTAAAAAAAAGAAAGTGAGTATGTGTTCTTCCAGACTATCCTCTACATCTAACAAATTTCATCGAAAACCGTTTAGCCGTTTAGGCTACAAACTACAAACTAACATCTATCCATCCATCCACCTAAACTTTCACATTTATAATATTAAGTATGAAGTATGATTGTATAATTGTTACCTATTTATTTGTACCTCCTCCTTCTTCCAGGCATCGACACTCCTGGAAATATCAAAAAAGTTAGCAAAAAATTCTTAAACATTGCTGGACTACAAGTATGGAATATATGCTTACCCCGCTTATAAAGACGGGTCGTTTTTCGGGCACCTTTGCATCGCCTTTCTTCGCGATCTTTGGTGTACAAGTAGAATCCGCAGTACCACCTTAAAAGGAAAACTAGTGAATGCAGCAGAAACAAAATCCTCTTTGTAATATAGATTTGGCAGAGGAGGGGACTTGTTGAAAGTTATGCAATGTCATTTTCCGCTAAAAAGATTGTTTACTTACCTGCAGCGGATTCAGGCCCGCTCATTTTGTACATCTGAAAATGTTTTTAAAATGTTATTCAATTACGGAATATAAAAAACAACGACATCGAAAGATGTGTTTAGCTAATAATGCAGAAGTTCTTAGTATACTAAAGTAGTTATTTACCCTGCCGTCATCTCCCGGGCCCACGGTAGAGGAGAGGGGTAATACATCGGGCCCCCATTGTTTCACGAAGTGACCGACTCGAGCCACGCGCTGCGCTGCTGTCGTGGTCGTGTGCGAGCCGCCGCAGTAGCGGTTACAAGTGTGTTTGTCCACATCAGACCTATAAAACTTCAAATATTATGGCGTTCCACCCAGTTTGTAACTTTTGATGAGGATATCAGACAATAATTTGTATAAAAGCGCAAGCAGAAGCGCGTTAAACTATTTTTAAAAAAGTTTTTAAAACTAACCGCACTTTTTGCGACGCCTTGGGTGTATGCGCTTGTTTATCAATCTGTTCCCAGTCGTGGAGGTTGCGCTGCTGTAGATTACTAGCTTGAGCCTTGCGTATAGCATCTTAAATAAAAAAATATAAATAATCGTTTATAACCTAACTTTTCTAAAATGTTGTGTTTTCTGTAATTCTATCTTAAACCTATGTATGTTTTGCAAAAATTTTTTTTGTAAGTCATTGATTTTTGTTTGATTATGGTACTCATTCTTAAAATACTTAAATCAAACAATTTATTTCACGTCACGTAGGGATGTAAAAAAAATGAAAAGATATTTCTGCGTGTCTAAATCTCGCATACCGGCCGGATGGCATGCGATGGATTTTCATATTGTCTGCAGGAATTCGTAGCGTCGGCACACACGCGCTTTATTGAACCGTGTGCAAATGCCAATCATTTCGTCGACCACGATATGATCGATGCTAAATTGATAATGAAGTACCGTAGACAAGAAATCGAAAGTAAAGCATAAAAGTTACCTAATTCATAACTAAGGTAAGGTTTCATAGAGAGGTTAGCGGGTAAAGGTCTAGACATTGGTATACTAGATTCACCCTCCATTGGCATCACTACCTTAGCGTCACACGATATGCAATTCAAATCTCTGGAAACAATACAAAATGAAATCACACGATTTTCTGTAATTTAATAACATAAACGTATTATTCATTACTTACTGTCTTGAAATAAGGAAAGTTAAAGCTTGTACAAGTTAAGTTTACATTATATTTGACAACATTCTAGATAAATCTATTAAACAAATGATTTCTCTCCATCCTAGGGCTAAACTAATAACTAACGATTGTGGAGATTGACAGATAACAGTCATTGGTGCCTAACAAAGTTCAGTTACTTAGCATGTTTACTAGAAATTAAAGATATCTGCTATAATACTAAAACCGTGACTATACTACTAAAGAGGTTCAGATATAAGTGGCTAACCTCATCAGTTTTTTCTTAGCACCAGCCGCTTCTACGGATCGTCGTAACGACGCGATCTGCTTCAAGTTATCTTGCAGCTGCTTGAGTTTTGTATTGAAGAACTCCTTCACAGGTGACAGCTCCATTTTGTCCAGTTTCATTTCTATTTCACGTTGTATGTCGTCGAGAGCTTGTTGCCACAGCGCTTCCTGATAATATTTAGGATTTTAAACTACGAAAAGTTATTAAAATCGTTATATTAGAAAAATTTCCTAATTAAACTGCGAAAAACTGCTTAATTCTATCGCATCTTAAATGTTCTTCTTTAATTATATATATCAACATTATACATCGAACATATTATTTGTACTTTTTAGAAGTTATTAGATATATTTACTGTAAAAAAAGGAACATCTAAAGCAAATTTTTGATATAAGAATTGAGTCACTTCGGTATTCTATTCGAAGATTATCATACTATGTAATTCTCGGTATGTGAAACGAACTCTGTACAAACCTGCATATTGAGTTTTCCAAGCGCGTGGTCTAAACCTCTGGAGAGATCATCACAGGCGAGTTCGAACTGGTCATGCGACACCTTGCGCGCGAGCAGCCGCACGTCCGCCTTCTCCGCCATCGCCTCCGTCATATCGTCGCGGTCCAACTTTATCGTCTTCAGTACTTCTATTTGTTCGATTATTGCCTAGATTTAAATAATAGATTCATACTGATATCCTTTCTTATAAACAATACGACATAAAACACAATTTCGGAACATTATCGGGATCCGTCTCTAATGCAGAGAGTTCATAACCAAAAAAAGTAATTTAAATTGTAGCAATAACGGGGAATTAAAACGGATGGCAAAAAAAAATTGATCAAATATAGACAAATACGTTAATACGATCCTGCCGGTCCTCTTTTTCTGAGGCCAAGTGCAGCGCGGTCTCATGCACGAGCTTCAGTTCCTCCTTCATGTCTTGCACGGTCTGGTACAACTTCATTAAACCTATACGATCAGAATAAACATATAGCATTCCTTGATACGCTTAATAATTACCAACAACTACCGAGTGGTTTGAAAATAAACACTGCCAACTATAGTTAGTCTAATGTTGCGAAAGTTCATGGGCCTCAGATGAACTAAAATAAGGTGATCCGTTGCTCGCTTGCCCCCTTCTTCAAGAAAATAGAATGTGATTGCGGCGATATAGATATTCCTCAGACCTTGCAAGTCAGGCATATTTTCCACTGGGCCCTTACTGCCAGCCATGTCCTGCATCCCTGCAACTTGTCTCGATAGATGTTCTATTTGATCTTGGAACGAATTTATCTAAAACAAAAGAAAAACTTTAAGATACTGCAGTACCGTTTAGGTAACTACGATCATTGTATGTTTAATGCAGAATCTAAATGAGTTTAGCATAAAATGGCAAAGAATAATAAATTATCATGATAAATAGCTGGTATTTAGAAGCAATAATTAATTGATACTTCAATTAAAAGGTATGTATAACATGATCGGTCTAATAGGGTGGGTCAGCCGGTTAGTTGGCATTCTACAATTATAAGATTTTCGAGCAATTTTGTTAAGGTATAACCTCCATGTGGAATAAACAATCTCCAATTACATTTTATACTGTATTCTCTATATTACCTAAATTGAAATAAAACTTTTCAGATGTTATAGTTATGTGTCGTTACCAAACATAAGCACATTTCTTTTATCTGATCTGACCTCGTTACATAGCGAGCGTAACTAATTTCACAATTTTTGGTTATCCACGTAACTTAGTTTTACTTAGTTGTAAAGCAGTACAACGTGAATATTGAAGAGCAAGTTTGTACCTTCCCTCTGTAACTATCAAAATTTGTTATGTATATTCTTGCGTTTAATTAAATGTGTGCTAACGTGATCGCTAATGATTCCTTCTTGTTTCTTGACTGAGTCACAGCATTCCTTCAACTTTGCCTCCACTGTACATACTTTGTTCAAGAGATCAGCAAGCGGGATCCCCATATCTTGAACGACTAAGAAGATAAAGAATTAATTTTAATAAAACATTCAAAGTAATAACTAATCTTACGTCCAATTGGTAAAGACATATTTTTACCTGGTGGTGGTTCCACTTCTATGGGTGCCGGCGGCAATACTGGCAAGGACGGCGGCATTGTTACAGGATGCTCTAAGATTAAAAGTGTTTGCATCAGAATAGACTCTTTTAAATGATAAAACCAACAACGATCAAGTTTAGTTTATAGTTAGTTTGTCTATTTTATCATGATTGGTTTCGCAATTGAGTAGAGATGGTTGAGGAAGATCAGGTATCTTTTCGATTTTTACTTGTCAAAGTTATCATCTTTAAATAAACAATTTATAGTAAGAAACTGTGGCTTTCGTTATTCCACGTTGGCGGGTATTTTATGTGAGGGCAAGTCATTGATAACCTCAGTAGTCCACATATTTACACATATTATATAATAACATTCATACCCGGTCTTAAATCTGCCATCGCTTCAACAAACTCTTTGGCCATATTATCAAGATCAGTTTTTACTTGCTGAATCATTGCACGTA